CCTAGCCACCGCTCCTCGGGGAGGCAGCGTGCTACCCGGGGGCGGGTCAGAGCGGGAGTGAGGCCCGCACGGATGCCGGTGCGTTGGCCACCGCGCGCCCCCGGTCTGAGCCAGGATCCGCTCTGTTGCCTCGGTCAGGTGAGGCTTTCATGAACTCCCAAGTGCTCGATACTGCGCGGCGTGTAACCTTAGCGCTCCAAGTACTGCTGTGCATGGGGAGCGGGGCCAGGTCGTGGGTTGGGGTGAGGAGAGGGGTCAGGACAAACCATAGGGATACATAGGAGCGGACGGGGCCTTTCTTCCACCCCCGCCACTCCCAACGCCATCACCGGACCGCCCAGGCCCAGCCCGGCTTTCCCCGCCATCCGGGGGAGCTGCAGATGTGAAGGGGTAGTGGTCCGGTGCAGGGGTCTCGGGCCCCATCCTGAATGTCTGCACGCAGGCGGGTGCTGTGAATGGAAGGCCGGAATCTCCTTTCTCCTGTCCCGTTAACTTCTCTGATTAGGAATGTGGTGGAGCCGAGAACTCATGTTCTTTTGTTTGGCCCTTTCTCTGGACATTTCTGGGGATGCTTAGAGTGGTTGGAATTCATCTGGAGGGTGGGAGGGCAGTATAGCCTGCTCTGCCCCCGGTGAGAAGGCAGTAGGTATGAACCTTACTGCTTCTCAATTCTGGGATGTGGTTCTGTCTCCTCTGTGCTGGACATCCAGTTACAAGTGTTTTTTCTTCCTTCCTCAGGGGCACAATGGCAGCCACAGTCAGGAGGCAGAGGCCGAGGAGGCTTGCCTGTTTGGCCTTGATGGCTATTGTCTTGGCAGACCTGTTGGCACTGAGTGGTATGTATCAGGCGAAAGGATCAAAAGAATAAAGGAATGGTGGGGGGCATAAGGCTCCTGGTCAGAAGTGTCTTAGAGTTGCTGGAACTGGACTTTTTTTTTTCCTTTGTTATCTTTTGCCACCAAAAGTGGTATACCTTCATTAGAGAGCCCTGAGGAGCGGGTACTGATGGACAGTCCTGTTTTCTCTTTAGACACGGTGGCGGTGATGTCTGTGGACCTAGGCAGTGAATCCATGAAGGTGGCCATCGTCAAACCTGGAGTGCCCATGGAGATTGTCTTGAACAAGTAAGGGTGGCCCTCATGCCAAGGGTGGGCAGTGGGGAGTCCAGGTACCGAGCATATGTGTGTTCCTCTTAGTGCTCACACCAGACTTCAGTGTCTGAGTGATTAGTTGCAGAGTGGGGAGGCTCCTAGGTCACATTCTAGGTCTTTCTTCCTCAGGGAATCTCGGAGAAAAACCCCAGTGACTGTGACCCTGAAAGAAAATGAAAGATTCTTTGGAGACAGTGCAGCAGGCATGGTGAGCAGCGTTCCCTTTCCCAGAGTGGTTCCTTTCTGTATCTGTCTCTATGATGTCAGAGATAGTCATGCTGGGCTTGGGTACTAACGCTGCTCATGTCTACCTTCTTCAGGCCATTAAGAACCCAAAGGCTACACTGCGATACTTCCAGCACCTCCTAGGGAAGCAGGCAGATAACCCTCATGTGGCCCTTTATCAGGCTCGTTTCCCTGAGCATGAGCTAAGCTTTGACTCTCAGAGACAGACAGTGCGCTTCCAGATCAGCGCGTGAGTGTTCCGTTGGGGAAGGTGGGCTCGTTATCCCTTCTGGGTTCCTCACTGGCATGCATTGATGATTGTCCTACCTCAATTTTTGGCTTTCCTTGCCTCTGTTCCCCTCAGGCAGCTGCAGTTTTCACCTGAGGAAGTGCTGGGCATGGTTCTCAATTATTCTCGTTCTCTGGCTGAAGATTTTGCGGGTGAGTGACAAGGTGGGGGCCACAGGTGGCCACACTCCTTCAGGACTAAAGTAACAATTCTCAAATGGAGATAGTTTTGCCTCCTAGGGAACATTTGACAATGTCTGCAAACATCCTTGGTTTTTACATTTGTGTATATGCCACTGGCATCTAGTGGGTAGGAGCCGGGGTGACCTCCAAACGTCCTGCAGTGCTCAAGAATGCCCCTCCCAGTGACGGAACTATATGGTTCAGAATGTCAGTAGTGACTAAGTTAGAAATCATCATCTGGGGTAGTGAACCTACGGTGCATGTGCTGCAGCAGGCTGTTTGTATCATTGAAAGCTCTGAAAGGTTTGCCATCACTGGTCTAGAGTGTGGAACTGGTGGGATCCTATTCTCTTGTCCCCTGTAGAGCAGCCCATCAAGGATGCTGTGATCACTGTGCCAGCCTTCTTCAACCAAGCTGAGCGCCGGGCTGTACTGCAGGCTGCTCGCATGGCGGGCCTCAAAGTGCTGCAGCTCATCAATGACAATACTGCCACTGCTCTCAGCTATGGTGTCTTCCGCCGGAAAGATATCAACAGCACTGCACAGGTGAGCACCAGAGGCCTGTTGCCCAAACATGCAGAATGCCTGAGCCCGAGGTGAAGCCACTTGACCTGTCTTGCACTTGTTTGCATACCTAGCTTTTGACAGAATGTACCTCTTGATCCGCGTTGAAGCTCTTTAGCTTTAAGTTGAGAGTTGAGCAGCCCCTTGGATGTAAGCAGGTGGGAGGCAGACGCTCTGGCCTTTGATAAGTTTCCTGTGACAGTTCCCTTGATATTTCCACAGAATGTCATGTTCTATGACATGGGCTCAGGCAGCACCGTGTGCACCATCGTGACCTACCAGACAGTGAAGACTAAGGAGGCCGGGATGCAACCACAACTGCAGATCCGGGGGGTGGGGTGAGTGGATTCCCGGAAGTTGGCTTCTTCTGAACATGTTCGTGATGGCTATAATTCATATGTCTTGCTGCCAGGAAGCTCTGATCTGAATTCCATCATCTGATAAATGCTAAACACCGGTGGGAACATGTTATGACCCTTAGGTCAGGGCTTTCAAAGAAGGGCAGCTTTCTCTCCTGGTCTGTAACAGTGCTGTCCTGGGTAAAGCATTAGCCTGGGGGACCAGTCCCAAAGAGTAGAGGGAAGCTGGAGAGAAGGGGAGTACAGCTTGGAGAAATTGAAAGGCAAAAACCTTCCTGAGGAAACCTATTCTGAGGAAATCTTTGAGTTTCTGAGGACATTCATGAAGCTGTAGGTCATATGTAGAATGTCTTGTGGCACTGGGGATTGAACCCAGGGCCTTCTAACTGAGCTGTATCCCCAGCTCTTATTTTTTATTTTGAGGCAGTCTTGTAAAATCACTAAGTTGCCCAGAGTGGGCACAAATTTGTAATCCTGCCTCAGCCTCCTAGAGTGCTGGGATTATAGGCCTGCACCACCATGGTTATCTTTTTTTTTTTTTCCTCTCTTCTTTTTTTGGTACTGAGGGTTGAACTCAGGATCTTGTGCTTTTGAGGCAGGTGCAGTACTACTGAGCTAAATCCCCAGCCTGATCTTGAAGGTTCTCTTTAAAATGCTAATCTGGGGCCAGGGATTTAGCTCAGTGGTTTGGTGGCCTGCCTTGCAAGTGCAAGGACCCAAGTTCAATCCCTGGTACCAATAAATAAATAAATAAATAACCCAAATTCAATCCCTGGTACCAATAAATAAATAAATAAATAAATAACCCAAGTTCAATCCCTGGTACCAATAAATAAATAAATAAATAAATAACAAAACAAAAATGCTAATCTGTGGGCTGGGGATGTAGCTCAGTGGTAGAATGGTTTTTTAGTAAATGTAAAGTCCTGGGTTCAGTTTCCAGCAATGCAAAAAAAATTTTTAAAATAAAATGCTGATTGGTTTGTAACCCATTTCTTTGAACCTTTCCCTGTGCTGGTCTGAGTTTTACCTCCTGTAGCTGTTTATAACCCCTAGTTCACTCCTCTTGATCTTTAACCTCTCACACATTGCCCTCCTTTAGAGTTTGCCAGCTCTCTCCTGCTTTAGGATTTTTACAGATGCTGTTTCCTGTTTCTAGAACGTTCTCCCTTCTCTTCCCCTAGTTCACTCCCATTCATCCCTCAGGTTTCAGTCCCAGCACCACTTTCCCAGTCCCCTCCTGAAGAGCACAGCTATCCCTGTGTGTTCTAGTAGCTCTGTTTTTCCTTGAAGAGAAAGGTGCATCCACTCCACAGTGGATGCTCAGAAATTACTGTCAAATGAGTGGGTAGATGAACTGTCCCTGTGAGGTATCACATGAGAATTGAGAATTGAATATGTGTCCACACTCTGAGTACTGGGATCCTTGAAAGAAAGGTAGGATGCCATGCCAGTGGAGAAACCCTGTTCTCTACACTCTGCCTGCTTCCTTTCCTGAACAGGTTTGACCGCACCCTAGGGGGCCTGGAGATGGAGCTCCGCCTTCGAGAGCACCTGGCTGGGCTCTTCAATGAGCACCGTAAGGGCCAAAGAGCCAAGGATGTACGAGAGAACCCACGTGCCATGGCCAAGCTGCTGCGGGAGGCCAATCGACTCAAAACTGTCCTGAGTGCCAATGCTGACCACATGGCCCAGGTATCCACATGGTGCTGGTGGAGGGCAAACTCCCCACTCCCAAATGCTGAGCAGCGCTGCCATTCTTCAAGTCTTGTTCCACAGAGCAGGACCTCTGCAGAAGCCCCCCAATACTCATCTTTGTTGTACCCCAGATTGAAGGCCTGATGGACGACATGGACTTCAAGGCAAAAGTGACTCGAGTGGAATTTGAAGAGTTATGTGCAGACTTGTTTGAGCGGGTGCCTGGGCCTGTCCGGCAGGCCCTCCAGAGTGCAGAAATGAACTTGGTGAGGGTGCAGGGCATGGCAGTGGGAAACACATGGATGTCAAGGGAAAGGGCTCACACTGAGGAAGGTGTTACCCACTTGAGTCTCACCTGTCTTATCCTTCTGCAGGATGAGATTGAGCAGGTGATCCTAGTGGGTGGGGCCACCCGTGTCCCCAAAGTTCAGGAGGTGCTGCTGAAAGCAGTGGGCAAGTGAGTGTGGGTGCTGAGGCATGGGGCCTATGTCTGCCCAGGGAAGGGCTGGAGGGCTGGGAATCCAGGCTGGGCACTCTTGAGTGGATGGGACTGATGCTTGGGACTCTTGTAGGGAGGAACTGGGGAAGAACATCAATGCAGATGAAGCAGCTGCCATGGGGGCAGTGTACCAGGCAGCTGCCCTCAGCAAAGCATTCAAGGTGAAGCCATTTGTCATCCGAGATGCAGTGGTCTATCCCATCCTGGTGAGTAAGTCTCTGCCCAGAGATAAACTCCCTCAGCCTTCCTAAGTGGCATCTTGCTTTCTGCCCACTACAGTCTGTCCCTTTGTCTTTCTGCCACATCCCCACCCTGGTACCCAAGCTGGTTCTCCAGTGTGCTCTCTCTCTGCCGTGTAGGTGGAATTTACAAGGGAGGTAGAGGAGGAGCCTGGTGTCCGCAGCCTGAAGCACAATAAACGTGTGCTCTTCTCCCGCATGGGACCCTACCCTCAACGTAAAGTCATCACCTTTAACCGCTACAGCCATGATTTCAACTTCCACATCAACTATGGAGACCTGGGCTTCCTGGGGCCTGAGGATCTTCGGTGAGGGGTGGGGGTACAGGCTAGGAGCTCTGGGACGGGGAGGCACAGCTGCCAGATTACAGGATGAGGGAGGGGACGGAGCGTGCATGGCTGAGTGGGAAGCAGGCAGTGGGCTTAGGGTAAGGGGTGAGAGGCTCTCTGGAGAGTGCTTCCACCCTTTGAGTTGGCCTCAGATGAGGCCCTGATGTCTTGTGCCAGGAGGCTTTGTAGTCTGGAGTTGAGGATGGGCTGAGTTGATCTCCTCAAACTCCTCTTTTTCTCCCATCCAGAGTATTTGGCTCTCAGAATCTGACCACAGTGAAATTAAAAGGTGTGGGTGACAGCTTCAAGAAGTATCCCGACTACGAGTCCAAGGGCATCAAGGCCCACTTCAATCTGGATGAGAGTGGTGTGCTTAGCCTGGACAGGGTGAGAGCAGCAGGAGACCTGTATACAGGCCAGGGCCGGGGCTCTGCCAGCCTTTCCCAAGTGGGTTCCACAGTGTAAAAAAAGGTTTTGGGAATCTGGCCAATCTTGGCTTTTTAACAGTGCTAACTAGGAAGTTGACAAGGGCCTTTCGAGCCCTGTAAATGTTTATGGGCACTGTAATTGGGTTAGTGAGAACTATAGAATGGTTGAGAAGCCTGTTTGTTCTGGGTTTAATATTTCTTAGCATATACTCTGGAAAATGATGGCCTATAGTGTTATTGAGAAGATTCACGGAAGGCTGTAAGAGACAAAAAGGAGCTGTGATTCTGTCTTCAGAGGGCTTGTAGTCAGTGGATGGAGTGACCATCCAGGAGTCCTTAAGAAAAGGCAGGAGAGAGACTGGGTTAGCATAGTTGCAAGTCTTACAGTGTATAATCAGGTACTCAGCATGGTAGATATTTATGGAGAAGTGGGGGTTAGCGTGCACCTTCGTTTCAAACCCATTTTCAGGTGGAGTCCGTATTTGAGACCCTAGTGGAAGATAACCCAGAGGAGGAGTCTACTCTCACCAGTAAGATGTGCACCTCTGTTTGGGTATGGGTGTGCGAGAAAAGATGCTCGTGTGCTTTTGGGACCACAGACAGGGCATTCCATTTGGGTCAAAGGTGGAGTCACTGCTTGGTCCCTTTTTGTAATGGTTTTGGGTTTTTTGTTGTTGTTTGTTTTGTTTTGTTTTGTTTTGTTTTGTTTTTGGTACTGGGGATCAAACTTGGGTCCCTGCACTAGCAAGGCAGGCAGTGGAACCACTGAGCTAAATCCATCGTCCCTTTTTGAATCTGTATACTTTCCCCGTAGAACTTGGCAACACCATTTCCAGCCTGTTTGGTGGTGGTACCACAGCAGACACCAAAGAGAATGGGACAGATAGTGTTCAGGTGAGCTGATGGTGGTGCCACGGTTGTGTGGAGAGCAGCATGGGGCAGGGTGTGGCAGCATAGGAAGGGGGTCAGGTGGGCATTGCTGCTGCTGAGATCAGTGGATCTCTCTTTCCCTTGGCCTGCACTGCCTTAACCATGCCCACCACACATACCTCTGGACTCCAGCTATGCCTTTTCCCTGGTTGTCATTTTCCTCAGTTGCCATGTGGCTCCCCACAAGCTATGTCCTGAGCAGTAACGCCCTTGAGAACAGAGGAGCTGGTGTGGCTGAGGCCTGGCCCCTACTGATTGTCATCCAGGGGGCCTGTGATTGTTCTCCAGGAAGAAGAGGAGAGCCCTGCTGAGGGAAGCAAGGACGAGCCTGGAGAGCAGGTAGAACTCAAGGAGGAAGCTGAGGCCCCAGTGGAGGAAACCTCTCAGCCCCCACCCACTGAGCCCAAGGGAGACACAGCCGCTGAGGGGGAAAAGCCCACCGAAAAAGAAAATGGGGACAAGTCTGAGGCCCAGGTGAGCTGTGGGCAGAGACCAGTGGACTCAGGGTCTGAAGGAGCTAGGCCTGCAAGGAAGCCAAGGCTCTTTCTGATGTTCTGATTCTTCCCAACCAGAAGCCTAATGAGAAGGGGGAGGCAGGGCCTGAAGGTGCTCCTCCAGCTCCTGAGGAAGAAAAGAAGCAGAAGCCTGCCCGGAAACAGAGAATGGTGGAGGAGATTGGGGTGGAGCTTGTTGTTCTGGACCTGCCGGACTTGCCAGAGGATGAGCTGGCTCATTCAGTGCAGAAGTAAGTAGAGATGGTGTGTGGGTGTGGGTGGGTGTGGAACGCACCTTGGAGGGCTTAGACTCCTAATCCACCATCTCCCTCATCTCTGCCTCTCCTTTATTCCACAGACTTGAGGATTTGACCCTTCGTGACCTAGAGAAGCAGGAACGGGAGAAAGCTGCCAATAGCTTGGAAGCCTTTATCTTTGAAACCCAGGTGGGCAGGATGGGGCAGCATCTTCTGGCCTTGGGACTTGGGTTTGAGGGTGTGTGCTGTGAGACCTGCCCTTGGGCCTATTGCATGCCTGCACTTGTGTCCCTCCGTAGGACAAGCTGTACCAGCCCGAGTATCAGGAAGTGTCCACAGAAGAACAGCGTGAAGAGATTGCCGGGAAACTCAGTGCTGCATCCACCTGGCTAGAGGATGAGGGCTTTGCAGCCACCACTGTGGTGAGGACCCTCCTGGGACATGAGCGATGGGATGGGAGCTCCTGCCCTCCTTGTCCAGGGTCAGAGAAATTGAGAAGAGAGTGAGACCATAAGTATTTCAGCCTGGGGTGTAACTCAGTAGTAGAGAGCTTACATAGTGTGCATGAATCCCTGGTTCAATCCCCAGCATTGCACAAAAAAAGACACAGCCAGGTGCAGTGGTGTGCATCGTAGTCCCAGCTATTCAGGAAGCTGGTTCCAGAAGAGCGGTTGAGGCCAGCCTCAGCAACACAGTGAGAGCATCTCAGGAGAGAGAAAATGGGGATGGACTGGGTGGGGGTGTGGTTCAGTGGTACAGCTTACCTAGCATGAGACTCCTTGGGCTCAATGCTAAGCACCTAGGCAGGTATGGGGGAGCATGCCCATAATCCAGCACTTGGAAGGCTGAGACAGGAGGGTTGCTGTGAGTTCAAGGCCAGCCTGAACTGCATAGTGAGACCCTATCTCAAAAAAAAATAAGCAGTCCCCAGCACCAAAAATAAAAATGGATGGAGGGCTGACTCCTCAGGGTTCTTCTACCATCTCTTCAACCCTCTGCTCATCCCCATGTCCATCAGATGTTGAAGGAGAAGCTGGCTGAGCTGAGGAAGCTGTGCCTAGGACTGTTTTTTCGGGTAGAAGAACGCAAGAAGTGGCCTGAACGATTGTCTGCCCTCGACAGTCTCCTCAACCATTCCAGCATATTCCTCAAGTGGGTGGCCCTGTGACCTTCTCTGTTCATTCCTGCCATAGCTATAGTTCCCCACCCTCCTACCCCAGGCACCTCTGCTTCTTGGGCTGATCTCCTCCTGCCTTCCAGGGGTGCCCGGCTTCTCCCAGAGATGGACCAGATCTTCACTGAGGTGGAGATGACAACATTAGAGAAAGTCATCAATGAGACCTGGGTAATGACTTTGCAGATTTGTGGCTGGACACTTAGCTGGCATCACAGAGCCAATGGCTGGGGTGACAGAGATTTCTGGGCTGTGGGAAGAGTCAGAGGCTAGTTGGGGTCATGGGTTCATCTGGGACAGACAACTGCTTTCTCCACGACTTTTTCTGAGCCTGTTCTGGCCTCCCTCACAGGCGTGGAAGAATGCAACCATGGCCGAGCAAGCCAAGCTTCCTGCCACAGAGAAGCCTGTGCTGCTCTCGAAGGACATCGAGGCTAAGATGATGGCACTGGACCGTGAGGTGCAGTATCTGCTCAACAAGGCCAAGTTTGCCAAGCCTCGGCCCCGGCCCAAGGACAAGAATGGTACCCGGACAGAGCCTCCCCTCAATGCCAGTGCAAGTGACCAAGAGGAGAAGGTCATCCCACCAGCAGGTGAGGGCAGGGAACATGGCTGGAGGTACACAGGCAGAGAGGAAGCTGCCTATCCCTCCTGGGGCGCCATCTTACTCCTGTTTTCCCTCCAGGCCAGACTGAAGATGCAGAGCCCATTGTAGAGCCTGAGAAGGAAGAGACTGGTGAGTTGGAAATGGGGACATTGTGTCAGCTGGTGGGGGCGGTCCACATATTATATTGGCAGGCATTGCATGTTCCTAGATGGCCCCTGAGCTGTGGATTACCATTACTTTATTTACTTACTTATTTATAAGTACTGGGGATCGAACTCTGGGCCTTGTGCTTGTGAGGCAGAACCATTGAGCCAAATCCCTGGCTCACCATTACTTTAAAAAAAGATTTTTTTTTTTTTTGGTACTGGGGATTGAACTCAGGACCTCGTGCTTGTGAGGCTGGCAGCAGCATCATTAAGTTAAATCCACCCCCTCCCAGCTTTTTTTTTTTTTTTTTTTTTTTTAATTAGGCAAATAGACCTACTGTGTCCTGCACATCCTAAAATACTAGCTGGCTCTTTACAGAAATAGTTTGCCACCCCCAAACGTGCAGAGACTAAACTACTCTTTCCAAAATGCAGGATCTGAACCAACAGACACTGAGCCCCTGGAGTTAGGAGGTCCTGGAACAGGTGAGGATGAAGTGGAGGATGCTGGGCAGCTGTCGGGCCTAGAGGGAAGGTACCTGCAGAGAACTGGGTCCACTTACGTCTGTCTGACCTGCTCTCCCTACTCCCAACAGAACCTGAGCAGAAGGAGCAGCTGGCAGGACAGAAGCGGCCTTTAAAGAACGATGAGCTATAACCTCCACCTCCCATCTCCCCACTCATCTCCAGCCCCTTCTCCTACCACCTCTATTTATTATACACCGGGGTGGGGGCAGGGGGTGGCCCCACCCTCGAGGCTTGAGTTCCTTCTCATCTGGGAGTGGAGTGTGGGGGAGGGGCAGGTGGGGGCCATTCATCGGTTTCTTCTGGAATAGCCCTATTGTTAAAACCTGAATTTGTCTGGCCCTCCATCCCACCCTTACTCCCTGGTCCTCTACCCATCTGGCCCTGCGTTTGGGAAAAATCACTAATGCGTCTTAATTCTTTGCCTTGGGTAGGTAAGAGAATGGCCACCAGGGGCTGATGGAGACCTGGTAGTGCAAGGGTGTCCTGGTCCCAGGAGAGCATCCTTCCTTTCCTCCTTTCCTCTTCCACTGTGAAATCTGTGTTTGCTTTGGGCTAAGTCTGCAGAGCCTCCACCACCAGGTTTTGTTTCCGAATGCCTACCTGCTCTTTTCTTCCTCCAGAACGTTCTCTTTCCCTAAATCCCACCCCTGTGTCCCACCTGGTTCTTCATTCGCTTTCTTGGCTTCCTGGCACATATTGGGTTCTTTGCCTAAACCTTCCCTGTGGACTGGCTAGAGTAAATTTCAAGTTTCCCCATGGTACATATGACCTCTGGTGGCCGGAGTAGGCAGGGACGCAGAAGGGAAGCTGCTGCTCTCCAGGGAGTGAGCCTTGAGAAAGCCCTGAGCCCCAATCTGTGAGCACTTGGGCCCAACAAAGCCAGTAGAATGATTGGCATGGGTGCCATCACCCTCCAGGCATTCAGCATCCTTCCCAGTAGCCTGGTACACCACGTAGCTGTGATTAGCTGTCCCCTTCTCTTCTGCTGTTCCCCTCCCAGACGGATCCTTGCCCCATGGGACTGGGCTGACCAAAATGTGCTTTCTACTGTGAGACCCCATCCCAAGATCCCTGGGGGATGGAGAGACCATGGTGTGAATGTAAAAATGCCACAGGTGGGCTTTGGGGTACAGGGTTAGGGTCGGCTGGCCTTCCTTGTATGCATTGCTCTAAAACTGGGGGGTCCCTTACCCACTATGTCAGGTCCTAGGGAGCCTGTCCTCCAGTATTCTGTCTGTAGTAGCAGCTGGAGCTGACTCACAGCACCAGGACAAGGCATACCTGGTTGTCAATCATTTTGTCCCCACCCCTACCTTTTTTTTTTTTTCCCTCCTTTTTTCATTTTTCTTTTTTTGCCACATTGGCAGAGAGACCTAAGAGTCCCCCCTCCACCCTTGTTGGAGTTCTTAGCAGTTGGAGCTGGATGGACAGGTTTAAATCAAATTGTACTTTGCTCCATTGTTAATTGAGAAACTGTTTCAATAAAATATTCTTTTCTACATTTTTTTGTGCTTTGACCTTTTAAAATATATTTTCTGAACATCAGCATGTTTAGTATAGAAGATCGGGTAGAAGTTTGTATAATAAAATCTTTAATGCCACCACTGAAATATTAAGTTTTTTTCATATAAACAAAAATCTTGGTTTCCCTTTTACCCTAACAGTGTTTGATCCCCAGCAGTTTCATTTAACTTGGTGGTGGTGGGGTAGGGGTCTCGCTGGGTTGAACAGGTGGACCCTGAGTTCTGGGCTCAACAGTCTTGCCTCAGAGCTGGGACTACAAGTGTATACCAGTGTGTCTAGCCTGTAACAGCTCCATTTTACAAATAAATGGGCAGTTCATAGAGGTTCAGTAATTTGCCCGGGAAATTAGTGTTAATTTGAAATTCTGGCCCATTACCCTTCGCTCTTCCTACTCTGCCATAGGGATGTTATCGAGGTTAAGCATTTGGAGGATATTTGACTTGGGTTGTTCATTAGTTAGGATGCAGCCTTATTTCATCAAAGGAAGGCATGTCTTCAGTAGCCATGTACATGTCCAAGCAGTTTAAGTATACAGTGACCATAAAGGTCAATTTTTTGGGGGGGGTATTGGGAATTAATTTGGGGCCTTAGGCTTGCGAAGAAGGTGGTAGAACCACTGAGCTAAATCCCTGGCCGAAAGGTCAATTTTTTTTTTTCCTGAAGATTGAATAAGTCAGACAAATTTTGATTTTGGGAATTTTCTTTTCTCTCCCCCCATCCCCTCCTTCCCCTCTCCTCTTTCTTTTCTTTGTGCCAGGGATTGAACTCAGGATATTGTGCTTCCAAGGCAGGCAGCAGAACCACTGAGCTAAATCCTTGGCCCTGGATCTTATCTTTTTTTTTCTTTTTTTTTGGTTTTTTTGAGACAGGGTCTATGTAGTTGAGACTGACCTGGAACTCCCTATGTAGCCCAGGCTGGTCTCGAACTCACAGCAATCCTCCTGCCTCAGCCTTGTGAGTGCTGGGATTACAGGGGTGCACCACCATGCCCGGCTTTTTTTTTTAATAGACTTTTTTTTTTTTTTTTTGGTACTGGGGATTGAATTTGGGCTCTTGTGTGTGCAAAGCAGGTGGCAAAACCAATGAGCTAAATCCCCTGCCCTTAGTCTTCTAGAGCATTGTCTTTGAGTTGCGAAGACTTATGTTCTGTCTGCTTTTGTTTTGTTTTTTGATACTGGGGATTGAACTCGGGACCTTGCACTTTTGAGGCAGGTGGCAGAACTACTGAGCTAAATCCCTGGCCTTTCTGTCTGCTTTTTTTCAGACAGGGTCTCACTATATCTTCCATGCTGGCCCTGAATTCACTATGTAACCCAGGCTGGCCTTGAACTTGTGATCCTCCTGCTTTAGCCTCTTGAGTGCTTGGATTATAGATGTGTGCTACCATGCCTGGTTCTGTGTTTCTAAGATATAGACTTACATTTAGATTTTTAAAAACTGTTTTGAGTTACTTTTATTTATAGTAGAAGGGACAGGTCCAAATGTTTCTTTTGCATATTGATACCCAGTTGTCTGAGCAGCAATTATTGAACAGATTATTCTTTTTTTCAGTGAATGGTCTTGGCTTCCTTGTCAAAAACACTACAGCAGACTACCATCATATGAGTTTATTGCTGGACTTTTCAGTTCTATTTCACTGATCCATGTATCTATCCTTTGTTTTTAGAAAGGGTCTCACTGTGTAGTTCAGGTTGGCCTTGAACTTACTACATAGCTCAGGCTAACCTCACACTCATGGCAATCTTCCTGCCTCAGCCTCCCATGTGCTGGGGTCATAGGTGTTCACTCCTGGCCATATACCTATCTTTATACCAGCAGTATACTGCTGTGATTACTGTAAGCTTGTAAGTTTTGAAATCAGAAAATAATTTTGCTGCAGTTTTATTCTTTTCCATGATTGGCCATTCAAGGTCCCTACAACGCTTTCACTTAGTGCTCAGTTGTCTACCTGAGGTAAGAGTGATGGAAAGACAGTAGGAGCAAGGCCTTTATTGGACCCTGTGCTGTGGCACAAGAGGGGTCGCACACGACACAGCTCTCCTGGACCGACCAGAGGAGGGTGAGGTGACGGCATAGAGGGTTGGCCAACATGTTCTATATTTCCAGGAACTATTTGAGATTTTGAAGTGTGGCAGGAGGGGCAGGGATCACCTGGAGAGGTTGCAGGGCAGAGTCATCCAGAATGGCCATGGGATAGTTTTCTATGGGAAGTCATATGAGATAGGGCTAGGTGACTTAATTTTTATTTTATTTGTTTAATTCATTAATTTTTTGAGATAGGGTCTCACTGTGTAGTCCAGGCTGGCCTTGACCACATAGTGATCCTCCTGCCTTAGCCTCCCAAGTGCTGGGATTACAGGCATTCACCACCATGCCCGGCTAAAATTGGGGTTTTTATGCAATACTTTTCTCAATTTTCAACAGCCATGCTTAGGCAGGTTATATAGTTATGTTTTATGTGAGGAAACCAAAATGGAGTAATCCAGGCGCTGTATGGCTGAAAGATGGTTAAGGATTTTTCTTAAGTTTGTGATACATGTGCTGGAGCACTGTTAACTATATTCCTGGCATGAGTTCAGAGCCTGGAACAGGGTCTCTGTCCTCAAGCAGGAGGTGCACCTGCCCCAGTGGGCCTAGCTCAGTGGAGATCCAGGCCCTTCCCCTCCCAGCCTACCTTTGCTCGTGCAGTTCCATGATCCTCCCGCTAGAGGGAGCTCCTAGCACTCCATATTGGAACCTTAATAACAAGCAAAGTCAGACCTAGCAAAAAGCACTTCTAGTGTTTTAGGCCACTGAGCTCAGTCAGCTCTGTGAAAAAGGCTTATGCTAGGGCTGGGACTTAACTCAGTAGCATAGTGCTTGCCTAGAATGTGCAGGGCATTAAGTTTGGTCCTCAATACAGTACTGGAAAAAATTATGCTATAATAGAAAACAAATCAAGATATCTAAGTGTTTAGATGGTGTGAATGATTGCTGTGTAATTTGCAGAAAATTTGTTCTGTACCAAACACTTGCTGGGTACAGTGTAAATGGGATATAGTCCTTTCTAGTGCGGATGCTGACAAATTTTAAGTAATCTGAATTTAGCCAGGGGTGGTGGTGCACTCAGGAGATTGAGGCAGGAGGATCACCGTGAGTTTGAGGTCAGCCTGAACAAAAATACTCAACAAAATAATTAACAGATGGGATAAAATAAAATTTATTACAATGCCAAAAAAACCCTCTAATCTTTAAAAATAAATAAATAATTTTAGTTTAGCTGGGTGTGGTAGTGTATACCTGTACTGCCAGCACTGGAGAGGCTGAGGCAGGAAGATCACTGAGAATTTGGTTAGCCTGGACTACATAGTGAATTTAAGGCCAGGAAAACCCTTTGTCATAAAAAATTAAAAAGGGCTAGGGATTTAGGTCAGTGGTTCAGCCACATGCTTTGCAAGCGCAAAGTCCTGAGTTCAATCCCCAGTACCAAAAAAAAAAAAAAAAAAAAAAAACAGTGAACAACAAAAAGAAAAAAAAACCCAAAAAAAAAAAAAAAAAAAAAAAAAAAAGATTCAGGTCAGACTCATCAACAAATGATAAAACCATTGGGTGAAAGATCATTGGAATAGAATTTTTTGTTTTACTTTTTGAGACAGAATCTCTCTATGTAGCCCAGGCTGGCTTCAAACTCACAGTAACCCTCCTGGCTCTGCCTCTCTAGTGCTGGGATTTCAGGCAGGCACCACCACTTTATGCTGTTAGTATGACCTTTTCCTTTTCTTTTCTTCTTTCTTTCTTTCTTTCTTTCTTTCTTTCTTTCTTTCTTTTCTTTTCTTTTCTTTCTTTCTTTCTTTCTTTTACTGGGGATCAAACTCAGGACCTTTCACTTGCAAGGCAGGCTCAGTGCCACTCAGCTAAATCCCTAGCCCAATCTTTTTCTGATTTTATATACATTTTATGAGGGACTTATTGATGACTTAAATTTTTCATTAGTACATGTTTGTAGTACATTGTAAGACTTGAATAGGCTAAAGTGACTCCATGCTAATAGGCCAGACTGTGCTTCTTCATATGCTAATTGCTACCTTGGTTAACAGCCCGCCCAGGGGCAAATGGTTTGACAAAAGGTGACCCTAGAACATTTCCTGCATAAGATAAGCAATGTGTTTGCAGTCTTGTTCTGTGAATTCCCTGACGCTTTGTTTAGTAAAACCTTATAAAAAGTACCTCAGCCCCTGAGCAGTTAGTTGCCTCTTTGAGCCACCTGGCTCTGGGAGTGCCGTCTGGCCAGACTAATAAAGGTCTTTTACCATCTAGGCTGGTGTGTTCCTTCCTGGGTTTCTCGGTTCTCTGTCCTGTTCCCGGAGCCTCGCTGGGTGTTAGGGCCCAGCATCGTGGAGGCCTTTCGGCTGTTCACGCTCCGTGGAGTGGAAGTGAGACTTTAGGTCTTACAACATGATGATTACAAATTCACTGTAGGGTATGGATACGTAACATCTCAATTCTTTTTTTTTTCCATTTTCCCTTCTCCTATAGTGTGATCTTTATTGCAGAAACAATTAAATTCATATCGAGGGACATTCTGCAAAATTGCAAAAAGACCCAAGCTCTTGAAAGATAAATTTTAAAGAAGTGTTTGTGTGTGTGTGTGTGTGTGTGTGTGTGTGTGTGTGTGTGTGTGTGTGTAGTACTGGAGATTGAACCTTGGATTTTTGTACTGAGCTCCGTCTCCAACTCTTTTTTTCTACAAACTAAATTGCTCAGGATTGGATTTGAATTTGCTATCCTCCTGCCTCAGCCTCCCAGACAGCTAGGATTAAAGGCATGTGCCACCAGTCTGGCTCAACTCATGATTTTAATAAGTAACCGTTTAAAGGCCCAGGAGTGTTTTTCCTCTGTCTTTATGGTGATTAGCTCAATTGATTTCATCTTCCCCTCCTGCCTTGCAGGATTAGCTTCCAGAGTCTAAACAATCTTTGTTCTCAATTTTGTAAGATTTATAGTCCTTTCAGCCATTCTTCTGTGGGATTGGCGTGATAAGAAAAAAATTCCAAGGCACCCTAAATGCAACTGCAAAGGCAGGAGGATGGACAGAAGTAGAAATAAAAGAAGTTAATCAGCCAACAGCTCCAGACCAAAAGAACAAAAACTGCTCCATATTTCTGAACACACCTTGAAACCCTACCTCAAATCTCCCAGAGCCCAACCATCATGGTGCCCTCACCTTCTGCTTCTAACCCCTCCAATGCAGGAGTAACCAGTACTTCTTGTAGGTTCTTTCTATACCCAAATTCTGTTTTGAATTATTCCACCTGTTTTGTCTATAGCCAATGTAGGTTCAATGCAAACAACTTTATTTATTTATTTTGAGACAGTGTCTCACTATGTAGTGCAGGCTGGCTTTGACCTTCCTATGGAGCCCAGGCTGGCCTTGAACTCATGGTGATCGTCCTGCCTCAGTCTTTGCAGTGCTGGAATTACAGACATACACCCCCATGCCTGATTTATTTGTGCTTTCTTGTCTCCCAATTTTCATTCTAAAATACTCTGGCTTTTTAAATCCAGCAGATGTTTTCCCAACTGTTACCTAGTCTTTCTGTGGTGGCTTCGGGAACTTGTTTCAGGATGAATCTTTTTCTGGCTAAAATGTGTAATAGGGCAATGAATTCTCTTTATTTCTGTCTTGAGTTTGGTTTAACAGATGAAGACCATGTTGTGGAGAACTCTGGTGTAAATCTTCTGAGCTCTCATCTACATCATCTGTTGAGTCCTTACAGCAAACCATGAGATCAGTAAAAGCAGAAACTGGGGCTTACAGATTAAAGTGGGTGCAAAAATCAGACATGGTAGCCTACGTTTGCAAACCGAGCTATTCATGAGGCTGAGATAGGAGGATCACAAGTTCCGGGCCAGCCTGGGCAATTTAACAAGACTCTGTCTCAAAAAGAGGAGGGGGGCTGTGAAAAATAAATAGGGCTGGGGTTGTAGCTTAGTGGTAGAGCTCCCCTGGGTTTGATCCCCAGTACAGTGAAAAACAACCATAAAAACAATAGCATAAACATTCATGATTAGAATTTGAGGTTTACTTAGGGCCTTGTCCTTCAAACACTATGGCTATTTATCTCTTCTTGAAATAGTCTGACTGTAGGTTAACATTTTAAATTGTGCTGGGAACTGCATTAATTGTGTACAGGAAACACTGTGCTCCTACAAGACTTTTTTCCCAGACTGAGCAAATCGGAAACAACGATTATTACTGTAACATTTGTTCCCCCCTAGTGTTTCGTAGGGAGAGGCGCTCATTAGAAGCTGGTTTATAGAATGCAATCGGTTAAAAGGTGGACCTAGCCGCACATAGTGGTACACACTCCTAATCCCATGCTGAAGCAGGGATCTCTGCAAATTCGAGGCCAGCCTGGGCTACATAGCAAGATCCTGTACATTAAAAAAAGAAATAAAAAAGTGGTTCTGGGCCGGGGATTTACCTCAGTGGCACTGAGCCTGCCTCGCAAGCGCAAGGTCCTGAGTTCCATCCCAGTAAACCTCCCCCACAAAAAAGTGGATCTATGTTACCCAGCTCCCAGGGGGCGCTACTCTCTCGCTAGCTGCAGCGCGACCTGCAAGACTAAACCACCTCCCTGGAGGAGGGACTGGCTCGAGGGCCTGGGAAGAGCCAGGAGGAGGCCCCATCCCCCCCCCCCCTCGGCGCATGCGCAGCGCCCGCCAGCCCGGCCCCGCCCCATTTTAGTCGGGCTCCCGCCTCGG